ATAGTAGAAATATACGATGCATAATTTGAGTAAGGTTGGCTTAACGCCGCTTTGATGCAAGTGATGCAGGTTATGATCATCACAGTGTCAGTATTGTATGGCAGAAAATGCCAACTCATCCTTATGAAACAGGGGATTTCCGTTCTTACCAGATCTTCAAGAAACCGCACGGTCCAGTAATGGACCAGTAATCAGTGTCAACGTGACAACGAGATAAGGGTCGTTTCACATACCATTGACAGCATCTTTAGTCCCAAAGCATCAGACCGACAAGGTGTGGCGACCCCGAGAAATAAAATGTGTAACAGTAGATGCTGAGCATGAACTGGGTCGGTGTTTGTACTGGTGGGCTGAAGCCCCCGACTTTCATCTTAAGCCCAGTAGCATCAGTTATCTTGAGTAAACTACAAAAGAAATATTTGGGCCGTGACATGAAAACTTTGACGCAAATCTTAAAGGGATATCAAAGCCTACATTACTGTGTCACATACATCCAGATTATCTTATGATCAGACCAGTGTTCTTCTAAAGTTAGTCAATAACACACACACACGCACACACACACACACATGCACACACACACATACACACATAAACGCACGCACACAGATACACACAGATACACACAGACACACACACACACACACACACACTGGGCAATGTATATAGATGATTTATTTGCCAACATATCAAGTTAATTAAGTATTATGTGTTCACTATTTTAAAAAAATATCCCAGTCATCAAAGGGCACCAGTTCATCACGTGACTGATCTGTAGGGCAAGTTTCATCCAGAAAGAAGATAGAGTGATCTGTAAAGCAAGCCTCGTAAAACACATTCAACATTTTGGAGTTCTGCTCCGGAAACGAGCGCTACTCTCATTTTCAGATTTAATCCAACTTGTCTTGAAAATAAAATAAAATTAGAAATATCCCAAATCGTCAAAATGCACCAGTCACACCAATCTGTATAGCAAGTTTCAACAAGAAATATTCAACGGTTTTGGAGTTTTGCACCGGAAAGGTGAACAGACGGACGGACATGACCCCGTTTTTCTGGGGGAATGCAAATTCAAACAAAATACATAAAATCATCACTCACAATTTTTCTTACATCTTTACCATTCCGTTTGAAATGGGATATATAGGATTGATATTTTTGACATCAGACAAATGCTGCACTAATGTACCTGAAAACATCTGGCTCCCTAAATTATACGCTCAGCTGTTATGATCAATACACACAATCGTCATCTTACGCGATACATTTGTTCGTTAAACGCCGCACTCAGCAAAATTCTAGCTATATGACTGCGGTCTGTAAATAATCGAGTCTGGACCAGAGAATCATGTAATTGATATCATGAGCATCGCTCCACACAATTGGGTATGTGAGTCAGTTGGGTTTAACGCCGCTTTTAACATTATTCCAGTTATATCACGGCGTGTCAGCTTAATGTGGGAGGAAAGCCCGAAGTGATGCAGGTCTCAGACGTTTACCACTTCGGTGAAACCCACGAGCACGAGTATGGTTCTGTCAAACCTAGAAACTTAATCGGGGCGAACCGGGATTCGAACCCAATAGGTTTCAATAGAACCCAATCATAGGTTTCTGGCGTGCCCAAGGGACGCAACTCTGGACAGCGAATCGCGGCGCCTTAGACGACTGGGCCACCCGTGCCCCACACACAAATTGGGATCGATGACATGTATCAACCAAGTCAGCGAGCCTGACCACCCGATCCCGTTAGTCGCCTCTTACGACAAGCATAGTCACCTCTTATGACAAGCATGGGTTGCTGAAGACCTACTCTAACCCGGATCTTCACGTGTTCCGCGATAAGTACCTGTGAGGTAATGACGATCGTTACTCGACCCAGTTGTCTAAATCTTGGAGCGAATGTTTAAGTACCACAATATTTTCAGTAAACATTTCACAGTTAATTTGAGATTTCCCTCCACCTTGTGCAACAGCCGCCCACTGATGTAGACAGGGAAAGGTACGATAGTGATTTATTGCCTCGGGAAAATCCTATGCTGTATTAGTTTTGATACAGACTCAAATTGTACAAAGAGAATTCCACAGATCGTAAATCCTTTACCCGTAGTTGTTTTTGTTTAAGTAAATCCACCCATCACGACCTTTTGTACTTGTCCAGCAGCTGGCCAAGGGATAATCTCCATCCTGTTTGTTTATTCAGTGTTAAAGAGCCGTCACCACTCGCCCCTTTCCGTAACCTGCATGAAGACTCGTTCCCCTAGCGATGAATGTTATGTGCGAAAATACGACAAACCAATCAGAATGCGCGTATGATTTCAAGGTCTTCGTCAAAGAATCCCTCAGAAATATATTTTTATTTTACATATGTCTTGCATCTAAAAATATACCAAAGACGCAGTTGAATGTGTTCAATCATACTGTATAACTTCGCATGTCCCGATGTGCTTAAAATTGCATCTGAAATATATATAATATATGGGGAAAGATCACGCAACGAGTTAACAATTGTTTTAGGTATGCCCGTTTGCGGAACCCGGTCGCAAAAATGTCAACGAGAGGGGCACGAGTCGCTATTCGGCTTGTCCCGGAATAACACGAGTTGGTCACGAATGGGTAAGAAAAAAAATCCCCAAGATATGCCAGCGGAAAGAGGCGACCACACAGATCGGGTGGGCAGACTCGGAGACTTTATTGATGGCATGTCATGGTATCCCAAAACCAATCACTGGTTTATCTGGTCCAGACTTGATTATTTACAGACCGCCGTCAAATTGCTGAAATATTGCTGACACGGTGCTGAACAAATGAACACAAGGTTAAAGCAGTTTACTTGGCTACCCACAAGAAATGTTTAGCTAATAATTATGCCAACATGTATTTGTTTAACAATACTCTCAGCAATAGCTAAAGGATAAAAAGTGGCGGCCTGTTAATAATCGAGGCTGGACCAAACAATCAAGGGGTTGATACTATGAGCATCGATCCACACAATTGGGATACGATGACATGCATCAACCACCAATTTGACTTTTGATTATATTTTAAAACGACAGCATCTTCGGAACACAAAAACATAATTCACAAACACAGATACATGACATCAAACCCAGGGACTCATTTTCCGGACTTTTTACTGTTTATGTAAAAATTGCAGTTTTTAGGCATAATATCAAAGTAGACTTGTATGCTGAAAGGTTTTAAATAATGTTTTCATTACTAACGAGAGAAAAATAATATTGTTTTTACAGTCCGCACTTTCAGGACGATAACCCTTGTGTCAGCCGTAGCTAACTCCAGCAGCAAGCCATCATCATGATGCAATGGCCAGCCATGAGTCCTGTCCGTCCCCACACAGAGACCCATGAAGATCCGGTGTAGAATAGGTCTTCAGAAACCCATGCTTGCCGTAAAAGGTGACTATGCTTGTCGTAAAAGGCGACTAACGGGATTGGGTGGTCAGGCTTGCTGACTTGGTTGATGCATGTCATCGATCCCAATTACGTGGATCGATGCTCATGATATTAATCACTGGATTGTCTGGTCCAGACTCGATTATTTACAGACCACCATCATATATCTGGAATATTGCTGAGTGCGGCGTTAACCAACAGAGCACATATGGGAAGAAATCGGGAGGTGTCTTGAAAGAAAAATCGTGGACCAGCATGAGGCAAACAGTATGTTGTCTTGATAATGATAGTACTGCCCAGTGACACTTCGTGGACAATAAGTAGTGGACTAATGGCAGCCAAAGTGATCCCAAGCCTAAATTTGCCATGTTGCTTTATCTTAAGGTGTCGCGAGTTTGGGATTTACTCCACCATGATGTGTTATATCCATTGCTGTGCTTTGAAGCTACCCGACGTGCACATGCTGAGGTCGGATTTGATTTAGATGAGAGGGGAGAAAGTCTCGGTTAAGGGTTATGCATTACTGTTTGTGTTTGTCGAGCATTGTGTAGACCATGTTGTGGAAGTGGGTTAGTCTGTTTCCCAGAATACAGTGCTTCTACATCTTGCAACAATCTACCTAATGAACTTAAGGTCTCACCATCACTCCAATCCTTCAAGGCAAATCTAGAGACCTACCTTCTCAAGCAGTCTAAATTCAACAACCCTCAGCCTCAGCAACAAGTTTTTACTTGCTGTAGATTAAAATGTGCGCCAAAAGGCGATTATGCTTGTTGTAAGAGGTGACTACCTGATGGGGGGATCGAAAGGTCAGACTCGCTGACTTGGTTGATGCATGTCATCGTATATCACCATTGCGTAGATCGATCTCATGATGTCAATCATTGGATTGTCTGTTCCAGAATGGATTATTTACAGACCGCCGTCATATGGCTGCAATATTGCTGAGTGCAGCAAATAGACAACCTGCTTCAATGTAGCGTCATCAGCAATAACTTGGTGAATGGTTGCTTTGGTTGGTTGGTTGATTTACGCTGCACTCAGCAATATTCCAGCTATATGACAGCGGTCTGTAAATAATCGAGTCTTGACTAGACAATCCAGTGATTGATATCATGAGCATCGATCCACGCAATTGGGATACGATGACATACATCGACCAAACAAACAAACAAACAACCTGCTTCAATGTAGCGCCATGAGCAATAACTGGTTAGTTTGGTTTGTTTGTTGTTTTACGCTGCACTCAGCAATATTCCAGCTATATGACGGCGGTCTGTAAATAATCGAGTCTTGACTAGACAATCCAGTGATTGATATCATGAGCATCGATCCACGCAATTGGGATCGATGACATCCATGAACCAAGTCAGCGAGCCTGACCACCCAATCCTGTTAGTCGCCCCTTACAAGCATAGTCGCCTTTGATGGCAAGCATGGGTTACTGAAGACCTATTCCACCCCGGATCTTCACGGGTCTGGTGAATGGCATCATGCCCATTACAAGTAGGTCAGTGCCCCCTTTGCCCGTGACACGGCACTCAAATGCTCTAGGCATTGTCAAAATTAACAAGACACTATAACAGTACGAAGTTCATGAAATGTTTAATGGTTATTTACAGAAAACGACCTGTAACAATGATTTACAAAGGTATGAAATATTTACAGTGTTCAGTCCAGTGACATCACGCTTGAGTGAGGTTGTGTTGTATGTTGTATATACAGCAGCAGTTAGGAATGAAGGATAACATGTTTTTAATTTTTTCTTCACAAATTCATGAAAATAAAACAGCACATGTCCAAATAATGGTTTTTGAAATAATCTGTTAACATCTAGCAAATCCTACTTGCTGTCTGAAAAGCAGACTCAGTCAATCATTCTTGATACAGATGAGAGTGAGTGAACTGGCTTAACACAACCACTAGATCCTGGCATATTTAAGGGACACAACCCATGCACCCACAAGCAGAGATGAAATATTTTGTAGCTGTTATTATTATTGGTAGGATTTGAATAGCACTTTCATTGAAGAGTGATTATGGTTTTACGCCGCTTTTAGCAATATTCCAGCAATATCACGGCGGAGGACACCAGAAATGGGCTTCACACATTGTACCCATGTCGGGAGTCGAACCCAGGTCTTCGGCGTGACAAGCGAACGCTTTAACCACTAGGCTACCCGACCGCCCCCTTTCATTGAAGACATTTGTCTGTCTGAATTCAGTGTTGTAATTGAGACATGTGCTATTATACAAGCCTTTGAAAGGCATGCATTGTTTCAGTCACTCACATAAGAAGCACCACTGCAGGAATATCACCGAGGTTGGTCTCATGCCATTCTAGCAGCCCATAAGCTTTAGGTTGGAGAAATGCCTGAAGGGATGCAGGTCTTGGATGTTGACCATATTGGTGAAACCCACGGTCACAGGTATGGTGCTGACATACCTACAAACTTAATCAAGGCAAACCTTGTATTGGAACTGAGATTGTTTCTGGCACACCTAATGTGAAACATGAGCGGTGCTGACATACCTACAAACTTAATCATGGCGAACCTCGGATTGGAACTGAGAATGTTTCTGGCACACCTAATGTGAAACATGAGCGCGGGTATGGTGCTGACGAACCTAAAACCGAAGCAAGCCAAATCTGGGATTCAAACTGAGATCCTTTCTGGCACATCTAAGGGCCATAACTCTGCACAGACTGCCTTTGCAGGCGTATGGTGGCAAAGACACACATGTAGACTGTACAAATGGTCCCTCACGTTTTAAACATGTCATGAAAATCAGGAGAGGGTAGGCTCTCAGTATGAACTTGTACCCTCGAATACTTATGGTTGGTTTGGAGCGATGACTTGAGGTTCACTGAAGGCACATTGTTGATGTTCAGTCTCCTACAGCCTGTGCTGCAATGACTAAAGAGGCTGAATGAAGTGGGACACTTGTTCTCAATATTTCCTGAACAGCCTCTTTCATAAAGTTGCAACTGACTTTATATCAAGGCGTTCACCAATGGCATCAACCGATTCAAATGCAGGTTCAAACCCAGGACTCAAGTTTCAAAGGCAATACTCTACCTACTGGGCCACCCAAAAGATAAAGACACTTAAACCATGCCTATAACCTCGTTCAATGTGTGTGTTCGGGCATGTCAGAAATGCCTAAGAGGGTCTTGGTGCTTGTTGTTAACTACAGGGTGGTTCCAGGTACCGTTGAGGGGAATCGTGGTGCCCATTGTTGAGCCTGTGTTTCTGGGTACGTGATGTTGTCATCGCTGTCACAGAGACCCTAGTGTCCAAACTTAAGGAGGAATCCTGGTCCCTGTGCTGAGGCCCCCTTGACTGGGTTGGCCATGTGGAAGCCGAGGGATTCGTCATCATCACCCTGAAACAATCAATACAGATTACTGAGTGAGTGAATGTGCTGGTTATATCACGGCGTGTTATTTTAATGTGGGAGAAAGTGTTGAGTAATATGTCTCCATCTTCCTGATTCAAGGGAATTAACTGACCATAAAAGTCCAGTTTCCACCCTTGCGGAACTAGGCCAAAGTTTCTGGGATCAATTGTAGGGCTATTACAAGTTATATCCCTTCTATATCCCTCCTATTGCCCAATCCGATTTTGCCTCTCACATCACTTGCATTTGTTTTAATCAAAATGGCGGCGCCCGGTCAGGACGATCTGATCCATAATAAAAATCTATATTTTGATAAATCAGGTCTTAGTTTGCGAAGTGCATCAAATCACGAGATCACCTTGATTAAAAACATGAAAAGATTTGGAAAATGTCTGGCGGTACACATGCTGTGCAAATCCTGCAATCGATTGAAATCTGAACGCTAGTTTACAACCCGGATGTCGATTTCGTCATACGATTTTGATAAACCCGTTAGTCCAGCCAAAATGTAACTCCATTATTCCAGCCTTGTTCGGCAAGGCGGAAATTGGACATTTACAGTCAATTCACTGCCTTGTCTCTGGCAGATGTATGTCTCAGATGTCTACCAATGTGCGACAACCGACGTACGAGTATGGTGCTGAGAAACCACGATAGATCTACATTATTACCTCGATCAGTGTGTGCTTTTTTTTCATTCTCCCAGCTCCTGGGGAGTACACAACTCAAGCTCTAGAAAGCTAACAGTCTCATATTCAGTTCATCCTTCTGGGTACCCATTCACTGCTGGGTGAACAGAGGCCTGGTGAGGTGAGGTGAAATTGGGTTTTAACATCGCGTCCAAGATTATTGCACTTATATAGCGACGTGCATGCACGTGTGTGTGTGTGTGTGTGTGTGTGTGGCTGCTGGTACTAGTCCGGACTGATACACAGTATACTGACTCCGAGCCGACCAGTCCTTGTTTTATAGCCCCTTAATGCCGAGTGCCAGACAGGGTAACAACAAGTACCATCTTTTAACGTCTTTTGGTATGATGCGGTCGGGGATCGAATCCCGGACCTTCCGCTCTCCAGGCGGACGCTCTACCACTAGACCACGGAGGCGGTCAGAGGCCTAAGGAGACACCACATGTGCCACAGTGTAGGGCCCTAGAATCTCTCGGGTGTCAGGCTGCCGAACACGGTCACCCATCCAACTACTAACCACGACCAACATTTCCTAGACTTTGCCTGAGTTCTGACCTTTGTGCTTCATATTTGCCACCACACGAGTGATACGCAACTTTTCTAACCCTTACACCACAGGGTCCTCGCTCTTGTCAACTCTAAGGACAAACTTATATTTTTTACATTTGGATACTTATTCTGCATTACTACCCTTATGCTTTTATTGCTGTTTTTTGACTAGAGTGAGTGGGTGAGTGAGTGAGTATGGTTTTACGCCGCTTTAAGCAACATTTCAGCAATATCACGGTTGGGGACACCAGAAATGGGCTTCACACATTGTACCCATTTCGGCAATCGAACCCCGGTCTCACGGCGTGACGAGCGAACGCTTTAACCACTAGGCTACCCGACCGCCCCTTTTTCGACTAGAAAGATGGAGCAGTTGTGTGGCAAAAGCCCTCCCACCCCTACCACATGACCGTCACGTGTAATCACACCACTGCTTGTACGAACAGCTGAAAGTTCGTGGGGAGGTAGCAAAGCGATGGGCAGGCACTTTAACCGTAGTAATGCAGGATAAGTATCCAAATGTGAAAAATATTAAGATTTTGATTGGAACAACTTCTGCAGCCTGGACCTCACACAGCTCGCCTTTCTAGTAAAAAAACAGCAGTAAAAGCATTCAGGTAGTAATGTTTTTTTTGGTTTTGGTTTGTTGTTTAATGCCGCACTCAGCAATATTCCAGCTATATGACGGCGGTCTGTAAATAATCGAGTCTGGACCAGACAATCCAGTGATTAATATCATGAGCATCGATCCACGCAATTGGGATACGATGACATGCATCAACCAAGTCAGCAAGCCTGACCACCCGATCCCGTTAGTCGCCTTTTACGACAAGCATAGTCACCTTTTACGGCAAGCATGGGTTGCTGAAGACCTATTCTACCCCGGAATCTTCACGGGTCTTAGGTTATAATGCAGGATAAGTAAACAGTATGAGAAACTGCTGTTGTCACACGAGGGACCTGCTCCTGACTCCTGACAAATGGGCCGTGAGTGGACCTACCAGCAGCTTGGAGTACGCCTTGCCTCCTGACGGGGGTTTGGGGGAGCTCTGGTGTTTGCGAGGCTGCTCGCTCTTGGCTGGCCAGGTGGGGAACATGGAGGGATCAACTGGCTGCGGAGACTCCTTGAAGTAGTCATGTGACAGTGCCTCCTCCGACGTGATGCGCTTTGTCGGGTTGTACGTAAGGAATCTGTCGAGAAGGTACGAAATACAGGCATTTCCTCGGATATAGGGAACCAATTGAAATGTTATACTATTATTGTGACTAACTAGTTGACAATCCAGCAAGCAGTACGAGAAAGACATTTCATCATTTTGGCATTATTATTCCGCAGAAGAAGCCGATGGCAGAATAATATCAATACAGTGTGTGTAGTAGACATTACAAAACTCACCGGTGGTGGACAAATTCCGACAGAACCCAGTCCTGTTTCCCCGGGCTGCTAACAAGGGAATGCAGCCAAGTGAGTGAGTGAGTATGGTTTTACGCCGCTTTTAGCAATATTCCAGCAATATCACGGCGGGGGACACCAGAAATGGGCTTCACACATTGTACCCATGTCGGGAATCGAACCCGGGTCTTCGGCATGACGAGCGAACGCTTTAACCACTAGGCTACCTGACCGCCCCTAATGCAGCCAAGTGCCACTACTCACCTGTTCATGAGGTCGAAGCCCACGTCGGTGAAGTAGGAGCCGAATCTGTTGCGGAGGGTGTTGTAGGGGTAGTCGGTGAAGGTGCACTTCTTCATCCCTGGCAACTCCTCCACTCCTGGCCAGATCTTTTTGTTGGGAGTTCCCAGGTCCTGCAACACACACAACTTACAGCTCTGGCTTCGTCTTTTGGTTTGTTTGTTTGTTTGTTTGTTTGTTTGTTTGTTTGTTGGATGGTTGACGTAGCACTCATCAATATTCCAGCTATATGATGGCTGTCCGTAAATAATCGAGTCTGAACCAGACAATCCAGGGATTGACATCATGAGTATTGATCTATGCACTTGGAATACAATGACATGCATCAACCAAGTCGGCAAGAATGATCACCCATTCCGTTTGTCACCTCTAAAAGCTGGATATTGCCGAGTGCCGCGTTAAACAACAAACAAATAAACAAACAGAAGTGAAAAAATTGCAAAAGACTTTTTCTTTCTTGTTAATTGTTCATCACAAATACAAAGCCAAAATGATGCAAACAGCTGATATGTTAGTACAAAATATGTTTTGTATTGTCATGTATTGCGATACAGGTCTGTATGTATTGTGTATTGAATCGAAGGTGATGTATCGTGGTTCTTCAGAGTTTCGCCCTTATTGAATACAAGAAGTCACAACGCTGTCACCACAAGATCCCATGAAGCGTTCTCATGACAACCATACCTTGAATATCCTGTTGAGTTGATCAATCTCAGACTTGCCGGGCCACAGTGCTTTCATTGTGAGGAACTCGGCAAATATACACCCCACCGACCACATGTCTATAGCACAGGTGTATAACTGAAATAGAGCATACCTCACTGAATATATAGTCCATAACTGTCCATGCTTGAATAAACACATACAGAATTGAACAAACAAATGTTTATGCTATTAAAAGAATGATTAAAAATACGAAAGCAACTTCAAATTTGGAGAATTTCTTGAAAGAACTTCCCTTCTTACATCCATACAATTCAGAGTGAATTTACATTGCAAGATTTGTTGTGAAGAAAACTGACTTCAAATATACAACTGAATTTTTGGATAGAGATAATCAGATATGACAGATCTATTCAAATAAACACATAACATATTATGAGAATCGGTTTTGTTTATCATCGAAAGCTAAAAATATCCCCATCGAAAGTGAAGTAGGATATTTCAAATTTTATTCCTAAATCAAAATTTGTGAAAAACATAAAAAATGAGCGAGAAGAAAGAACTGATGAGCAAACAAATAAATAACCTTTGTTCCCAGGAGAAGTTCAGGAGCTCTGTACCACAGCGTGACGACAATAGGTGTGTACTGCTTCAACGGGGACCCGTACTCTCGCGCCAGACCGAAGTCTCCGACCTTCAAGATGCCCTTGTGACTGAGGAGGAGGTTGGAGGTCTTCAGGTCACGATGGAGGATCCAGTTGTCATGGAGATGGGCCACTGCCCGAAGTAGTTGCTGCATCAGTGTCTTCACTTCCCCTGGAAACCATCCTCAGAGTTAGTGAGGTTTTACGATGCTTCTAGCAGTATTCAGTCCACTTTACGGCCGGGGGACCCGTGAATCGGCGTTACATTTTTTTATTTTCACTATACATTCATGGTGATTTCTTGTGTTAGATTTTACAGTAGGGATAAGATAATGTTTAGTCAAGAGTAGGTGGTGAGGTGAAATGGTGGTTTAACGTCCCGTTGAAGATTATTGCACTTATATAGCGACGTGGATGCAAGTGTGTGTGTGGCTGCTTGTACTAGTCCGGACCGATGCGAATTTATAGTGCTAGCCCACTGAGATACCATTCCGCAGTTTAACATGAATACCCCACTCAGACACAGTATACTGACTCCGAGCCAACCAGTACTTGTTTTAACCCCTTAATGCCGAGCGGCAGACAGGGTAACAACAAGTACCATCTTTTAACGTCTTTTGGTTGGACGTGGCCAGGGATCGAACCCCGGACCTTCCGCTGACCAGGCGAACTCTCTACCACTAGACCTTGGAGGCAGTCGTCAAGAGTAGGACTGTTCTGTATCATGCTGTATTACTGGCATACATGTACACTTCAATACATTTTTCGAACAATACGTATTGCAATATTTTTTCTGTGTTCTGGTATACATGGTCAGAGCTCCAGAAAAGCTTTTGGTGTTGTGGGTATTTTACCCATGCATTTTAAAATCACTGCGTATCAGTAATTCTATCTGGGTATTCAAATTTCTGTTACCCACTAGTTTTTACACATGTGGGTATTTAAGTTAAATATTTAAAAACACTATTCATCTAGTCCCTGCAAACTGGTGTTGTGTGGGTTCGAGAGCTTTATAGGACTCAAAAATACCACGATACTTCCACAAGTGTGATGGCAAATGATCATGATGTAACTGTCATCGTGGAGTTTGGCACGGACGATGGAATGCCCGTTTATAATTTCAAAATAAGTTGCTGATTTGCCAATCGAATATGCAGGGTTACTTCACAATATTTTGAATATACGCACAAGTTTTATTTTTGTAGCGTATCTGTAATGTTCGTTGCGTATTTGATACGCTTGGATATTATTTTACTGCGTATTTCTGCATTTCTGATGCGTTTTTTACGCAGATACGCAGCTTATCTGGATCTCTGCATGGTACATTGGGTAAAAATATATGTAATAAGTTCCGTTATTATTTGTATTGTTCAAACTAAAATAGACACGGACATTAATTCACAAATGAATCTGCCATTTTAAACTGAATGACAAAACGACAGAAACCATTGAAACGAGAACAACATTTTTCACTCTCCCCTGTATCCATGACAACTGACCATGCTGCCTCTGACATTGTAATTTTCATTTACTTTAATATGTAGAAAATAGGATCTGCATGTACAATCAGTGTCAGCAGAGACCATATAATAGAGGGACGGCCCTCTAGCCTATGCGCGAAACCATCAGTGCTACGGCTTGTACTGCGCAGCCTGTCCGGAAGCGAGCAGAAACGCGTTCACTGCAGTCATCGTTGTTGCCTTTTTTTCCCATGCAAAAGATATATTTCACAATACATAATTACACTCATATATTTCTTAACATTGTTAACATTACAACTGAGATTTGTTGGTGCCCTAAAGCATGTCGTTGTCACTGTATTTGATGACTGTGATCACGCTTTGTCTTTGTCCGAGAGAACAAAATGGCGCACATGTAAAATCGGCAAAAGTGCAGATTTGGATTTTCAATAACGGCCTCTAATTCGCAATGAAAGTCCTTGGTTACCTAGGTGTATAAAAAGGAGATATGTTAAAAATTGGCTTAGTGCCATTAACAAATTTAGGGCGGATCCGAAATTTCAGATTTTGACTCCAGAAATGGGACTAAATCTGAATTTTCCCGAAATAATTACACCACAACTCTTAATTTTCGCATGCTTTCAGACGAATGTGTTCCTATTATCGGTCCTGAATTTAATAGTTTTACATTCATCACGATTTCCCCTATGGCTTGGTACCAACGTTATTTAGGTACGATCGGTAGTTTTTTTGGTATGATTTTTGGCGCAAGGCCATATTTTACGTCACATATTTTAAGTTAAATTACCATATAGCAGACGACATAACATGCATTTTGTCTGTGATTATCATCCGCATATATCCTGTGAAACATTCTACAAAGTGACTTATATTGTATGATATTAGAATTGTTTTTGTAAAACGCGTATTTTTTTTACCATTGCTTTCGCCATTTCTTCGTAAGTTTAACTTTGTTTCAGTTAGGCCTAATCACATATCGCGCATATACTACATACTACAATACTACATATTTGTTATCTTCTGTAGGTTTTGTCTGTATAAATCATGACTACATTTTATCGATTATTGTTTTTATGCCGTGTAAATATTGATTATAAGCAAAATTATATTGGCCTAAACCCAATCATAATAATGTAAATATGATGAAGGTACTACTTACTTTGTGTATTTACACAACAATGAAAACATCATACAAAAATAAAAATCCGTTACATGAAATATTTGTATAATAAAATTATCATTTGCTTTGTAAATGCCAAGAAAGAAGAAGGATTATATCGGCACTCGTCGGGAGAGAAGTTCCAGACAACAAGGTCGAAGGTGTCATTCAGTAAAATATATAGATGGTCTATTGTCCTTTTCTGTGAAAAATACATTTACATATGTCAGAGTTTGTGATGTTTTGTTTTGTTTTAATAGTAATACATGTGTAGTTGCATGCTTTGTTCCAGGTTAGAGTTTAAAGTTTGTTTATCATTGATCAGATATAGAAAACTATGATGAAAGAATTTTGAAAACAACAAACGTTACTACAGTTTACGATATACTAGTACATATCTGGTACCATGCTCGTTGAAGCTATATTGTTATACCTGAAATACCTAATTATTTGTATGCTGAAATATCAATCTAATCGGGTAATATCGGAATATTTGGAATTTAACAGTAGCCTCCCTTTGAAAAAAAACTTACCTCGCTCCAGCAAACCCCATTATCACTGCTAGCCCCAAACTAGCATTAACCAATAACTTTTGATTCTTTCGAAGCCCATTGTCGGACACATCGAAAACTCATTTAACAACGCTCGTAGTTTAATGTGTATTTCTAATTCATTGGAACTATTAGCATTATAAAATAGTAGCGAATTTACATGAAATAAAAACATTAATATGGCGTCATTTTTTTTCTGGCTAATAGTAAAGCATTTACACCAGTCGGTGATCATGCATTTTTGCAAGTAAATCTAGTCTGGACTTATTATAAGATATGAAGTTAATATGGAGATATATTTTGTGAACATCGGGAATATGGTGATATGTTACAAGTGTCTTCCCTGCTTCTGGATGAGTTTTATTTACACTTCCTGAGTTCCTGTGCAGTTTACCGGATCGTAGTTTTCTGTGGCGTTCGTAGTAGATTTGGTATATTTGTTTATTTATAATAGTTAACAATTGCAGCATAAAAATTAGATATTTTAACTGATTTTTAAAACAAATAGAATACGTTATAAAATACTTTTGATATCGGAACGGCTTTTTCTTCATACGCCCTCGAAAACTTACGCTTGTGGACAGACGTCATATTTTCATTTCCTATCTTTTTCTTTGAGTGAATCTTTTTGGGAGGTATTTACCAACGGCTTGGTAGCGGTAACATCACTGTCATTCTATTTAGACCAAGAGTCATCCGAAACCAACCCCTGGTCGAAGAGAGGGAATTCTTCAAGTGGCATATCTAGGTCCAAGACGAAATCGTCCAAGTGAATGAAGTCGTCCATGGCTGTGGCGAATGTAAATTGAAATAAAGAAGACACGGAAGACACACATGTTCAGCAAATAATTTGCAGCCAACTGACATGTGCTTATGAGAGATATCATTAAAAAAATCTTTGTAATCCGCTAAGAGACGTCCTTTTATTGGATTGTCGCTGGTCGTAGTCGGAGAAATCGCGGATAAGGGAATTCACTCTTACCCCGGATATTATATAATATTGTTTACGTGGTTACCAGAATGGTCAGTCGTGAATGTCTGCGCATCTATTGCGCATCTGCAGCGGTACAGAGAGGTTAACAGCAGGGTGTCGGGGTGTATCAGTTACATGCCAGACCGTAGCGCTGATGGTTTATGATAAACTGTTGGGGAGGGCCGTCCCTCTATTATATGGTCTCTGGTGTCAGTCAATGTTCTTGTTAGGCAGACAAGGGAGATAACCCTGTATGTACTCACCAACAAGGAATGGTTGTTTCATGGTCTCCATCAGACTTTTGAGGTCGTGTTCGACGTAGTCCATCACAATGTAGATCTTGTCCATGTTGCTACCGACAACAATTTCCTGGCAACAAAAACATAGAAACTGTCAAGAAAAGGCCTACCCTGACCTAATTAATCCACTACCCTAACCTAAAACCCTCCTAACCTGGCAAAAACTGACCCATCCCGACCTACCCTGTAACACCCTGGAGCTAACCGGGACCACAATGACACCCTGGCAGACCATTTAACACCCTGGACCACAATGACACCCTGGACCTACCCGATAACACCCTGGACCTACCCAATAACACCCTGGACCACAATGACACCCTGGACCTACCCGATAACACCCTGGACCTACCCAATAATACCCAGCATCACAATGACACCCCGGACCTACTCAATAATACCCTTGATCTACCCAATAACACCCTGGACCACAATGACACCCTGGACCTACCTGATAATACCCTAGCCCTACCCAATAACACCCTGGACCTACTCAATAATACCCTAGCCCTACCCAATAACACCCTGGACCACAATGACACCCTAGACCTACCCAATAACACCCTGGACCTACTCAATAATACCCTAGCCCTACCCAATAACACCCTGGACCTACTCAATAATACCCTAGCCCTACCCAATAACACCCTGGACCTACTCAATAACACCCTGGACCACAATGACACCCTAGCCCTACCCAATAACACCCTGGACCACAATGACACCCTAGACCTACCCAATAATACCCTGGACCTACTCAATAATACCCTAGCCTTACCCAATAACACCCTGGACCACAATGACACCCTAGACCTACCTAATATCACCCTGGACCACAATAGTGAGTGAGTGTGTACGGTCTTACGCCGCTTTTAGCAATATTCCAGCAATATCACGGCGGGGGACACCAGAAATGGGCTTCACACATTGTACCCATGTCGGGAATTGAACCTGGGTCTTCGGCGTGACGAGCGAAGGCTTTAACCACTAGGCTACCCGACCGCCCCTGGACCACAATAACACCCTGGACCTACCCAATATCACCCTGGACCACAATGACACCCTAGACCTACCCAATAACACCCTGGACCACAGTGAGACCCTAGACCTACTCAATAATACCCTGGACCACAATGACACCCTGGAGCTACCCAATAACACCCTGGACCACAATGACACCCTAGACCTACCCAACACACCCTGGACCACAATAACACCCTGGACCTACTCAATAACACCTTGGACCTATCAGACAACACCCTGGACCACAATGACACCCTAGACCTACCCAATATCACCCTGGACCACAATAACACCCTGGACCTACTCAATAACACCTTGGACCTATCAGACAACACCCTGGACCACAATGACACCCTAGACCTACCCAATAACACCCTGGACCACAATAACACCCTGGACCTACTCAATAACACCTTGGACCTATCAGACAACACCCTGGACCACAATGACACCCTAGACCTACCCAATAATACCCTGGATCTACCCAATAACACCCTGGACCACAATGACACCCCGGACCTACCCAATATCACCCTGGACCACAATAACACCCTGGACCTACTCAATAACACCTTGGACCTATCAGACAACACCCTGGACCACAGTGAGACCCTAGACCTACTCAATAACACCCTGGACCACAATGACACCCTGGACCTACTCAATAATACCCTGGACCTGGCCAATAACACCACAGACCTACTCAATAACACCTTGGACCACAATAACACCCTGGACCTACTCAATAACACCTTGGACCTATCAGACAACACCCTGGACCACAATGACACCCTAGACCTACCCAATAACACCCGGGACCACAATGACACCCTAGACCTACCCAATAACACCCTGGACCTACTCCATAACACCCTAGACCTGTCCAATAACACCCTGGACCACAATAACACCCTGGACCTATTCAATAACACCCTGGACCTATTCAATAACACCCTGGACCTATTTAATAACACCTTGGACCACAATAACACCCTGGACTTACTCCATAACACCTTCGACCACAATAACACCCTAGACCTGTCCAATAACACCCTGGACCACAATGACACCCTGGACCTACTCAGTAATACCCTGGACCTGGCCAATAACACAACGGACCTATCAGACAACACCGTGGACCTACCCTGACTGTGACAATGTTGTAGTGTTGAGCCTTCAGCAGTGTGTTGATCTCCCTGAGGGATGTGATGGGGAAGCCCTCTTTCTCCTTCTCCATCTTCAGTCGCTTCAGAGCCACGATCTCGTTCGTCTTCTTGTCCTTGGCGCGGTACACCACGCCGTACGTTCCCTCCTCGATCCTGTTCAGGCAGCTGAACTCCTCCACACTGCGACAGCCCTGAAACACCACAGTCACGTCAATATTCCACCTATATGCGGCGGTCTGTAAATAATCAAGTCTGGACCAGAAAATCCAGTGATTGACATCAATCTATGCAATTGGTTGGTTGGTTGGTTGGTTTGTTGTTTAACACCGCACTCAGCAATATTCCAGCTATATGACAGCGGTCTGTAAATAATCGAGTCTGGACCAGACAATCCATTGATTAATATCATGAGCATCGATCCATGCAATTGGGATAGATGACATGCATCAACCAAGTCAGCATCTCTGCAATTGGGATACGATGATATGCATCATCTGCGAGCCTGACCATGTGATCCCGTAAGTAGCCTCTTACGACAAGCATAGTCGTCTTTTACAGCATGGGTTGCTGAAGACCTGTTCTACCCCGGATCTTCATGGGTCAGTGTGGAGGGAGTAAGTATGGTTTTATGCTGCTTCTAGCAAGATCACAGTGGGGGACACCAGAAATATGCTTCACACAGCATTGCAAAAATACTTTGACAAACCATAGTTTCAATTCAAACCCCTTAACACCCTGGACCTACCCAATAAGACCCTGGACCTACCCAATTATAACACCCTGGACCTACCCAATAACACCCTGGACCTACCCAATAACAGAAATAGGCTTCACACAGCATTGCAAAAATACTTTGACAAACCTTAGTTTCAATTCAAACTTACACATCTTGGCAACTTTGTACATTTTTAAAAATTCTAGCAACCTTATTTCAGTCCTTTCATGGCATCAGCTTTATACAGTCAAGTCCTGTTAATCCAACATCGATGGTTGCATATGATTATGTCTGATTAACGAGTATGACGGATAAACGAAATGGTAGTATCAACTTTCGTGATCGAAAATCGGACAACTACACCATACATAACGATTCAAACACGTAATAAAAATTTTTAAGATAAATATTCATATTGTTATGTTACATTGTTGGCGGAATATGTTTTCTAATCATGCAACCTCTAAAGTTTAACACAAAACAACTGTTACGGACTGTATGACTGATTCAAAATACTTTAAAAAGCATAGTCTGGAATGGAAGTCACAACTTTGAAACTGGTACCACAAAGCTTAAGAAAGCTGCTTTCTAAGTGGCTAACGTTGATGTCCTGTTAGTCATTTCATTGGTAGGTCATAGTTCGAGAAAGGGTGTTCTGACGTGACCTGTAATGGAATGTCCTTGCCGATAGCGAGAACTTGTATCTGATTTTAATGAGATTGAGGTAATCTCAGCATGTGATTAATCCTGTTTTCTTTATTCAAATTCATTGTTTATTGTTAAGCAAGTTTATGTCTGCATCCGTTGTGATATTCAGCTACCAGCTGACTCGTCTCGCATCAAAACACGGGCTGTGTACTCGCGGACAGATGACCACAGAATACGCTGACCACTGTGTCAGATTAACGAGACTGATTAATGAGTGTTTTTTGTAATTCGTTGCAAATTAGGTGTGTCGGAATCTGAGTGCAAGAGTGGGTCTAAACAGCACTGATTTAATCAGCTCCAATTTTTAGTGTCGGATAAAGCCGATTGTCGGATTAACGAGACTTGACTCTATGGGATGTCTAAAGTGATGCAAGTTGACCATCATCGAAGAGTTTTATGACCTTGAGTGAGTGAGTGAGTAAGTTATTCTAATACTGCTTTGAACACTGTTTCAGTAACATCACTGTGTGTCAGTTTGAAGGAGGTAGATCCGAAGTGACGCAGGTCTTAGTGAAACCCACGATTCACGGGTACGGTGCTGACAAACCTAGAAACATCATCATAACAAATCTGGATTTCAAACCCAATCATACGTTTCTGTCAAAACAAAGGAAGGCAAGAAAAACGCGGTTCCTTTAAAGAATGGGCCACCTGTGCTGCCATGAAACCAGTGATGCCTAAAATCTGGCGAAAATATATAGTCAGGATCAGGGATCTGGAAACTGACTTGTCTGGTTGGGATAGACTAACATCTAGTCTCTGAAATGAACATATCGTACAGAAAAAAACAGTTGTTCAGTTGTCTTAATAAAAATATAATTGAAAGGGAGCCCAGTGACGCTCTTCATTTTCAGATTGCAGTAATCTAGACTAGACTAACATCTAGTCTCTGAAATGAACATATCGTACATAAAAAAAACAGTTGTTCAGTTATCTTAATAAAAATATAATAAAAAGGAGGACTCTCTTAATTTTCAGATACTGCAGTGATCTAGACTTGCCAAACATTATAGACTTGCATGGGCTGTATTTGATATATATTTGTATCAGGGTCTGTAAGACTATAGTTGGGACTGCAAAACGTTCAATTTGAAAAAGTGCAAAGCTGACATTTTAAACTTTGCCAACTGGAATTTTGTTAGAAAGTACTTGCCTGACAACAACCTGAGAGGGGGATATCATAACAAAGGTTATAGAAAAAAGAGAGCCAGCCAGACTGACATGTGTTTCTGTTGTGGATTAGTGCATACACATCTTGCAGGGGAGTCCCAGCGCTATCAGTCATTGCACGAAACTGCATCGTTCAAGGAATTCAGGTGAGAACAAACTTAAATTGGTCAATAAAAATGTGAAATGTGAGATAAAATCAATAGACATGATGATTTTCCATATAAATTGTATTTGTTGCACTGCTAGGCATTTTCATATGCCGAAAACAAAGGCCAAAACGGTAATAACGTGTAGACACGTTTCTAACAATCTACTGGTGATCCAGTTAAAAAACATACAATAATAGAACTTCAAAGAATTTTGATACTACTATTGGAAGAATTGTATCAGAGTAATATATATTCCACTATAGTGTTATTCTAGTTGCAGTATTATTTAAAATAATAATAACCATTAGAGTAGCACTTTGGAACAGGTGATTGCTATTGCCAATTTTTTTTATCAATTTGATCTGACACTTCCCAATGACTTGTGAGAGAGAAACATGAGAGAGAAACAGAGAATGAGAAGTTCAAAGCAGCCAGTACCTGCAATGCAGGGAAGTAGGGAGGGAGTTTAATCTCTAGTTCCAACGGCGATGGCGGTGGGGAGTCTGCGATGTAGCCCACGTCGTTATTGGAGTTGAGCATATCAACGCTCTCCGTCTCACTCTCATTCTCTGACTGGTCATCAAACTTGGAGCGTACTTTCTCTGAAAAATCAATTCAGGAAAATTCATTTAGTTACCAAGACATTTTAACTGCTACTTACTTCTACTTAGATTGCGAGGAACAAAAAATAATGGCTGCCTTCTGATATTGAGATTTGAACAAAGTTGGTTTATGTGATGTCAGATGACATCGACATTGCAACGTAGATGTCTAATGTTGACAACTGTACCGTGGTGGCCGTTGCTGGCGACGCCCTCGCTGACCTTGCTGCTGGAGGTGCTGCTACTGTTGTCACTCTCTGAAACAGACAGATTGTATACAGACACATTGTATACAGACACATTGTATACGGACACATTGTATACAGACACATTGTATACAGGCACATTGTATACAGACACCTTGTTTACGGACACATTGTATACAGACACATTGTATACAGACACATTGTATACAGACACATTGTATACGGACACATTGTATACAGACACATTGTATACAGGCACATTGTATACGGACACATTGTATACAGACACATTGTATACGGACACATTGTATACAGACACATTGTATTCAGGCACATTGTATACAGATTGTATACAGACACATTGTATACGGACACATTGTATACAGACACATTGTATACAGACACATTGTATACGGACACATTGTTTACGGACATATTGTATACGGACACATTGTATACGGACACATTGTATATGGACACATTGGGTACGGACACATTGTATACAGACACATTGTATATGGACACATTGTATACAGACACATTGTATACAGACACATTGTATACAGACAAATTGTATACGGACACATTGTATACAGACACATTGTATATGGACACATTGTATACGGACACATTGAATACGGACACATTGTATACGAACAGATTGTATACAGACAGATTGTATACAGGCACATTGTATACAGACACATTGTATACAGACAGATTGTATACAGACACATTGTATATGGACACATTGTATACAGACACATTGTATACAGACACATTGTATACAGATTGTATACGGACACATTGTATATGGACACATTGTATACAGACATTGTATACAGACAGTGAGTGAGTGAGTGAGTGAGTATGGTTTTAGGCCGCTTTTAGCAATATTCCAGCAACATCACGGCGGGGGACACATTGTATACAGACACATTGTAAACAGGGACATATTATACAGACACTTTGTATACACAGACATTGTTTCAGAATAACATACTCAGATGCCCAAATACATTTTATCAAATACATAAGAATAACAAACTGAAATCTTTGGACAGAAAGGGGTACATCATTTTGCAAGCCATAAGTGTTTCTTTTCAGTTATACAGGGGCTACACCCTTACCGAAAGTGTCTGATCGAATTTCACCATATCAATGTCTCGCCACGTCTGTTTGCTCACCTGTCTCCTGTGATTCTACCGACTCGGCATATTCCTCCTCCGAGTGATCTACTTCCTTTTCTTCCTCCTCCTCTTCCTCCACCTCCTCTTCTTCTTCCTCCTCCTCCTCTTCCTCCTCGTCAGTCATGTATTCCTCGTGAGCCTCGATGTGAACCTCTCTGTGATCCTCTTCCTCATCTTCTTCCTCTGGGGTGTGGGGACCCACCATTCGACCTGCAGGGCAAACAGACACATAACAGCCAGGGCTCGACATGGGAATCCCCCAAACAATGCACAACACTAGTGTAACCAACATCCTAATACACCTCACCTCTGCCATGCATTCAATACGGCCACCAGAGCAGAACTTCACCAAAATGGTTGAAGCTTGTTATTCATGAGTGAGTGAGTGAGAATGGTTTTATGCCGCTTTTAGCAATATTTTGGCAATATCACAGCAGGGTACACCAGAAATTGGCTTCACACACCCATGTAAATGAACCCAGGTCTTCAGGGTGACGAGCGAACGCTTAAATCACTAGGCTACCCCAACGTCCTATTCATGAGTGAGCGAGCAAGCAAGCGATGATGTCATAGTTTGTGTGGCAAGCCATTGCTGCTTACTATGTTAAGGTATCGTATAAAGACTATGGAAATGAAAATATTCATTAATTTAAACACACAGCACCCACCTCGGTGGTCACCCTCTTTCCGGTGGGATCTTCCCTTGATTTCTACCTCCCGCTGATGCCGCCGATCTCGACTGCGACTACGGACACGCTCACCATCTGTGCGGACAACCTTTTGCCTCTTTACGTGATCTGGGGAGAAACAATCCGTCAATCTAACCCTCGTATTATCAGCTATCAGTATGTTCAGAAAGGAAACGTTTCATGTCAAAGTCAGCAATAGTCTAGCTACATCTCAGTGGCTTGTAACTGATAGAAGTCGAGACTCGATAAAATAGTTGTTCACAGAATAAGACCAGTCCCTGTCATCGGAATATGACAGACTTTTCCCACATCACCCAATTCCCACTTGAGCGAATGTTGTTTAATGCCACAGCAAAAAATATTCCAGGTACACTACTCAAAATAAGGTTAGGGACCACTCGATTCTTTCATATGACTCTAGTCAATCCGCCATGCCATGACCATAGTAATATGAAAGAATCTTGCTTTTTGTAGTACATCACAACTGGCTGTAAACATTCAAGTCTGGACCACACAACCAGATCCGGAGTAGAATAGGCCTTCAGCAACCCATGCTTGCTGTAAAAGGCGACTATGCTTGTCGTAAGAGGCGACTAACGGGATCGGGTGGTCAGGCTCGCTGACTTGATGATGCACTTCATCGTATCCCAACTGCGTGGATCGATGCTCATGATGTCAATCATGGATTGTCTGGTCCAATCACCTCACTCAGCAATATTCCAACTATATGAGGACGGTCTGTAAATAATTGAGTCTGGACCAGGCAATTGATGTTGTTAACAATATGCTACATCATTGGGGTACAATACCATGCAATCAGCTACGTCACCGAGTCTGACCACCTAAACCATTTGGTTGCCTCTTACAACCAGCATAGGCTACTGAGGACCAATTTTAACCTGGAATACCCATGGGGTAGAATCCCCTCAACATGCTTAAGCCCATCTTCCTGAGGCAAGGGAGTTATCTGACTTTAAAAGTCCAGTTTCCACCCTTGCCGAACTAGGCTGGAATTACTGGGCTCTCGTATCATTTGCGTTTGCTTCACACAAAATGGTGGCGCCCAGTCAGGACGATCTGATCGATAATCAAGATCTATATTGTGATAAAATGGGTCTTAAATCGCAAAATGCATCAAATCGCGTGAGCTCCTTGATTAAAAACATGAAAGGATTTGGAAAATATCTGCTGACAACAAATTGGCGATGCACGTTTCGCAAATCCTGCATGACAGTTTACGAACCAGATTTTGATTTCGGTGTGCGATTTTGACTGGACTATGCATAGACTTGTTAGACCAGACAAAACTTAACTCCATAATACCAGCCTAGTTCGGCAAGGGTGGAAACTTGACTTTTATAGTCAGTTCACTCCTTTGCCTCGGGGAGATGGCTTAAGCCAGGGATGTGAATGCTAGTATTGAACATGTCAAATTATTTCGGTCATCTTGGCTTACAGAAATGACGTCAATTGCATTCTTATACCCGTAGTCATGGTAACATATTATTCTTACTCTCTGATCGTGCTTGCTGGGCTTGACGTCTCTCTTCCTCCTTCCTGCGAGCTCTCTCCCTCTCTTCTCGGATTCTTCTCGCTCTCTGCTTCTCTCGCTCAAGCTGTTCAAGTCTCTCTCTGTAAAGGAAGGAATCATCACTTTACAGTGACAGGGTCAGTCAGTCAGTTGGGTTAACGTCACTTTGAACAGGAGTTCAGTTATATCATAGTGTTTCAGTTTGATGTGGGAGGAAAGCCCAAAGTGTTGCATTTCTTGGAATGAGTGAGTTCGAGTTTAACGCCACTTTTAACAGTATTCCCGTCATATCACGGTTTGTAGGCTTAATGTGGGTTAAATGCCCAAAGTGATGCAGGTCTCAGACATTTTTCCACTTTGGTGAAACCCACGATCACAGGTATGGTGCAGACAAACCTAGAAACATAATCACATCAAACCAGCATTCGAACCAACAATCATTGGTTTCTGGCATGCTCAAGAGACTCACAAGGAAGAATTAAGAAGTTAACCGCAATTTGTCACCCCAGAAAAGAATTCTAGTGATATCTAAATATTTCTTACATTTTTATACTTATTCTGCATTACTCCTTAATGCATTTACTGCTGTTTTTGACAGAAAGAAGAAACTGTGTGAGGTCCAGCTGAAAAAGAAGGTGTTCCAATTAGTTGTGTGGGTAATCCCATCACACAGCACCAGTGGAAGTGATGACATCACGCAACTTCACATTACTGCTTGATCGTAACATCTGAAGAAATTGTGGGAAGGCAGCTCTGCCACAGGTGGGTAGGCCACTTTAGACATAGTAATGCAGGATAAGTATACAAATGTAAAACATATTTAGATTTTACTACATTTTTTAACTTATCCTGCATTATACCTGAATGAGATGGTACAGGGGTCGGCATACCATAAGATGATATTCTCAGAAGACCCTTGTCAAAAAGTCCCAGGCGACTAATCCAGCCAGAGGAAATACAAGAGTGTGAGGAATGTAGGAAGTCAAGGTGAAAGAACAGTAGTAGAAAACAGCGGATGCTGGAGTCTAAAACTGACTTACCGAGCCAATGCTTGCAGCATTTAAGCCTTCTTATCTGGGATGCAAGCACCAGAGGGTTTGAAATGTCATTTGGGTTTGGTGACCTGCTGGGCAACGACCAGAAAACCAAAACTGTGGACGCCCTTGACATATTCCAAGGCCAAGTCCCTCGGGTAGTGGCTGCCAAAGACTGTGCTGGATCTACAAAAGCATCCTTTCATGAGCGATCTGATGGAGCAGTTGTTGTGGAGAGCCATGGTGGAGGTTTGTTGGCCCTTGGAGGATCTAGGCCAGCGTCCTCAAAAGCCTGAAGGATGATCGTGCATAGCCACAAAGATATTGTGTTACGGCTAACTCTAGTCTGGGAGGTCATGAAAACAGGGATAAATAGTCGTCTCCTTCATCCACGTTGAGGTGAGGTGAGGTGAGAGGGGTTCAACGTCGTGTCCAAGATTATTGCACTTACATAGCGACATGCATGCACGTGTATGTGTGTGTGTGTGGCTGCTTGTACTAGTCTGGACTGATGCCGATTTATAGTGCTAGCTCACAGAGATACCATTCCGCAGTTTAACATGAACACCCCACTCAGACACAGTATACTGACTCCGAGCCGACCAGTCCTTGTTTTAGCACCTTAATCCCGAGCGCCAGACAGGGTAACAACAAGCAACATCTTTTAACGTCTTTTGGTATGACGCGGTTGGGGATCGAAACCCCGGACCTTCCGCTCTCCCCGGGCGGACGCTCTACCATTAGACCACGGAGACGGTCCATCCACGTTGAGCCTCAGACCGTCGGATGAAACCCCCTAAGTGCCTGAATCGGGCACAAGTGGAGTTCCTCCTCATCACGAGATTGGTTGGATGGTGAAGGACCTGTCAGGCTATCCTAGGAGTTGATTCTTGGCTATGAAGTCCAAGCACAGCTACCTGCGCCCTGCGCTAAAACGGGATACAGGTGATGTCGAGTGCGTTCAACTCACTTACCCACGCAGCAGTCCAGGGACAAGAGGAACGCTTTCTTCTTGGCAAGGTTAAAAAAGGAGGCTGAGTGGTTAGACTCAAATGGAGCAATCTGAGAACCATGTTCAGATCCCAGGCAGGAAGTCTGAACTTGGCCTTCGGATCCTCTAGTCTGAAGGAGCGCAGCAATGTTTGGAATTCCGGGATCTTTATCATGTTGCGATCTTCTGGAACAGCAAATACCGAGTTGAGGGCCACCACGTTGTCAGTCATGGTGCTGTCCTCTGGGTGTTGTTTGCTGGGCCAAAACAGAAGGAATTCTGTCAAGATTTAGGGAGACGCAGAAGTAGGATCCTGGTGCTTCTCATTACAAAAGGTCTCATAGTATCGCCACTTGTAGTTGTAGAGTCACCGGGTAGAAGGTCTGTGCGTCATGGCTATGGCTATGGCATTGCCTGCTCTAGTCGACTAGCCTTGGCGCCTAAGGCCCTTTGAAGATGTACCAGGCATGCCTGGAGATGGGTGTGGTAACCTGCTGTGTGGATGTATCAGAAGGTTTGATCACCCTGGTAGTTCAAGTGGATCCTATGTGGCCAGGAGCCCGTTCCACAAAGCGATCGTAGCACTAAGATGATCGTAACTCCCATACTTTAAAATAGAATTACGACTGTCGTAGTGCTATGATCACTTTGTGGAAAGGGGGCCAGGTCTTTGAGATCCACGAACCAGCCCCTCGCCAGCCACCAAGGCGTGATCAAAATCAGAGCGAGGCTCTGGGTTGCTCTGATCTTCTGACGGACCTTGGATAGATGCTGGGGGTGGGAGATTCCAGTCGTTGAAAGTCCAGGGCTTCAGTGCTTCCTGCTGAGGTCACCATCCTGGTACTTGTCCCAGCAAGATTGATAGATGTCTTGTCGTCTTCCCCTACCCTTTCTTTGCAACAAACAGACGGGGTGACCTGGGCGAGGTCTTTGAGAGAGAGAGGCCTGTTGTGGATGATAGTTTCCAGCCTTGGAGGACTTGTGGGATGTGTGCCGAGACACATGGTCTAAAGCGTTGAGGGCGTAGCTAGAAACATGGAAGTGAGTCTCAGATACCTCTCCACTGAAAAGCAAAGATACTAAACTCAAAGTGATCTCAGCCAGGGCAACCTTGAGATGATTACACACGTGATCTATCTGATGCTGCTGGTAGACCATAACTGTCTCTCAGACAATCCACCCGATTAGGATTAGCGTCCGTCAGGTCCTGATCAAAGGTGCGAGATGAAGACGCTAGAGCAGATAAAGGATGAAGAGATCGCCGAATCTCCGTCTTTATAAAAAGCCAACAGCCTGTCTGGGACTCGATGGTTGTAGGCTTGGAGGAGCCAGTCATGTGATGGAGATCCTGATCAACATACGCCACCTCAAATGTGTGGTTGGGGAAATCATTGTTCAGGAAGTCCTGGTCCAATGCCGTGACCATGTCCGGCAGAATGGAGGTAGGCAGCCGAGCTATCAGCCATCCTGTCCGGCACCTGGCTGATGCTCAGATGGGTGTCCTTCTCCAGCGAGAAACCCTCATAGTTAGGCACACAGGAGCCCTCTGATGAGTAATAGTTGTACCAATGGCTCCTGGACCTTGATGACTGGAAGCTTCGTCTAGATTCTGGAGATGCCGACCAGTGAAACAACGCAACGTGAAACAACGAGGTAGAGATGCTTCCAGTGGGATGCAAGCACCAGAGGGTTTGAAATGTCATTTGGGTTTGGTGAACTGCTGGGCACCGCATCCTGGAGCCATAGGCACAGGAGACATTGGCAGAGGCGCCAGCAGGATTGATGAACCATAGACTGCTTAAAAGTTTGCATCCAAGCCGGGTCCAAGTAGGGCGCCATTAGAGGTGGAGGCGGAGCCTGCTGAAACAGCATCTGCGCTGATGGGAAGCCAGGTTGTATACCAAACCCTGGAGGAATTTGGGGGAAATCGATGGTGCCTGTGTGGTCATCAGCGCCTGACTAGTCATCGGCGTCAGAGGAGGTAAAAATCACTTTAATTACCAAACAGTGAGTGAGTGAGTTTGGCTTATCGCAGCTTTTAACAGTATTCCAGTTATATCACGGCATGTCAGCTGATGTGGGAGGAAAGCCCGAAGTGATGCAGGTCTCAGACGTTTACCACTTCAGTGAAACCCACGGGCACGGGTATGGTGCTGACAAACCTAGAAACATAATCGGGGCGAACCTGGATTCGAACCACAATCATAGGTTTCTGGCGTGCCCAAGGGACGCAACTCTGCACAACGAATCGTGCGACAATTACCAAACAGGAAGCATTAGGTAAGACAACATAAAAGAGTACAAAAATAACATTCAGGCAGATTACAACCCAGAAACACGGTGGTTAAAGGAAAAAAATATGCAGTATAGAAGTAAAAGATCACATAACAGAATTCAAAGCAACAATAAAGAATAAGGTACGTAAGACACATGTACGTGACAACAGGGTAAATTAAAAATGGCCAATTGGAACAACACAGCACATGACTTTTACAGTCACTTGGAGCCAACTTCACGCACAATATCTTAATGCGACGGAACAAATGTATGGCAAGATGTGAAGACACAAACCACAAGGATGATATATATTGCAAATGAACGCTGAATACGGAACAAGCAAAAGGATCCCAGTAGACTTGCTGGAGCTTAATCATGAAGGACTTGTCTGTCAGTAATGTGAGGTGCCGTCACGTCATCACTTCCGTGGTCAGGTGGGTGCTGTGTGATGGGATTAGCCGCACAACTAGTTGGAACAACTTCTTTTTTAGCTACACCCCACACAGCTTCATCTTTCTGTCAAAAAACAGCAGTAGATGCATTAAGGAGTAATGCAGGAAAAGTTAAAGAAATTCTGGATGACCAAAACATCTTTTATCCTACCTATCTCAACTTTTGTTGAATGTCTGATACACTTTGTTTTATATCACATACAGTGAGTGAGTGAGTGAGTGAGTGAGTGAGTGAGTGAGTGAGTGAGTGAGTGAGTAAGTATGGTTTTACTCCACCTTTAGCAACATTCGTGCAACATCACGGCGGGGGACACCAGAAATGGGCTTCACACATTGTATCCATGTCTGGAATCGTACCCGGGTCTTCGGCGTGACGAGCGAACGCTTTAACCACTAGGCTACCCGACTGCCCCAACATACAGTAATACAGAAAAGAAGATCATTTACCTTTCGTCTTGGGATTCCTGTCTCTTTCTCATTTCACGAGCCTCGCGTGATTCCAATTTCATTCGCCTTTCCTTTTCCTTTTCTTTTCTTTCTCTCTCAGCCTCTCTTGCTTTTTGTCTTTCCCGCTCAAGTTCTCGTTCCCGCTGCCACTCCCTGTCCATCTCTCGCACCTGCATCTCCTTCTGTTCCCGGTGTTCCCGTCGGTCCCGCATCTGAACCACTCGGTGACGTTCTGGTTCTTGCCGTCCTGAGTGACCCCCTGACAACAAACATGTGTGAATTTCATGAATGTATAAACACCTTCATATACTTACAGTAGATTTCATGAATGTATAAACACCTTCATATACTTACAGTAGATTTCATGAATGTATAAACACCTTCATATACTTACAGTAGATTTCATGAATGTATAAACACCTTCATATACTTACAGTAAATTTCATGAATGTATAAACAACTTCATATATATTCTGGAAGGTAATTTAAGGTACTGACGTTTACCACAATATCTGAAAAGCTATTGGACCTACTCCAGTCAAAGTTGGTATGAGATTATTAAACAGTCATACATAATTGGATATTACATTTAAAGACAATCGGTGCATGAATAAAAAATCTGTCTATTTAGCTATCACTATATTTCATTAACAACCAGACCTGTTTGTCACGGGTGGAACGAGCATTCATTGAAACAGCCATCTGCATAATGCTACCCCTGCGTCACAGGGCCATATGACACAGTTGAACCAATCAACTCCACTCGAAAGGGTGCACGGGAATCACGCACGCACGAATACAGTGTTAGCATGGTTAGCGTTGGGCGTCTCGACGTGCGTGATTCCCGAGCACCCTTTTGAGTTGACGAAATTACCTTCCGGACTATACTTACAGTAGATTTCATGACTTTACGTAACATGATATCACCACCCAACCATTTCCAAACCAATCGAGAAAAGTCCAACAAGGGAGATAACTCTGTTATTTGCAGGGCTGCACGGCTAAGCACTCACTCTCTCTGTCTCTGTATTCTCGCTCCCGGTCCCGTCTGTCCCTCTCTCGTCGCCTCTCCTCCTTGTGTTTGTGTTTGCGCGACTTCTCCTTGCGTCCTGCGTGGGTTTGAGGAGGTTTAATGTCCAGTCCATCCCCATCTTCTCCCCCACTCCTGTAACCATGGCAACAAGAGATCACATTAATACATCCACTACAGCATATCTTATGTCAAATCCATCTGTAGCAGAGCAACAGATAAGCAGCTTATTTGACCCCCAAAATATTCAAAACCCAATTACTTTCAATTAACTTACATATAGAAACGCAAAATGAAAAACTCAAACATATAAAAACAGCACGCTTAAATACCCAGTGAAGTTTTTTCAGCATGCGTACAAAGTAGCTAATTTCCTAAACACAATTACGAGCTAATTTACTCTCGATTCAAGCCTATATATGTTTAACAGTTATCATGGTTATTTATCATCCAAAACTGGTTCCCACAGGAGATATCGCTTGGATGAGATCAAGCGATATCTACACTGTAGATATCGCTGCAATGAAATTACATCACAATGCTTTGCAGACCATTGTGACATCACTGGTTACCATGACGTCACAATCAAATGACATCACTAATGGCTCTGCTACTGAAGCTGTTTGCAGTACTTTTTACACTGAAGACACTGCTAATTACTGTCTACAAATTGAAAAAGTTGAAAGAATGATGTTGGATGATAAATAAAATCTCACCCTCGTGTCTTTTGATATCAAATATATCAACACTCGTTGATAAAAGTGGCAAAAATCCTCGGCAAGCCTCGGATTTTTCCACTTTTATCAACTCGTGTTGATATATTTGATATCAAAAGACACTCGGGTGAGATTCTCTATATATACATCTAAAACATTATTTTAATTTTCAAAATCTTAAAATGTTCACTAATTTTGGGAAAAACACAAAAGAGTGATGAACAGACGAGTGAAAAAATATTGGTTACCCAATGGAAAATGTAATAACCCAAATAAGATAGTGAGTGAGTGAGTGAGTTTGGTTTTACGCCGCTTTTAGCAATATCCCAGCAATATCACGGCGGGGGACACCAGAAATGGGCTTCACACACTGTACCCAAGTCGGAATTTGAACCCGGGCCTTTGGCGTGACGAGCGAACGCTTTAACCACTAGGCTACCCGACCGCCCCCAATTAAGATAGAAACCCTTGAGTAAAAATTCAATTGCTCCAAAAGGATATCTGGAGCTATGCAGTAGTCATGGTAGTATAGCACTACAGTGTCTCATTAACAAAACCAATACTGTTTCTTTCCCTATTAGAGAGTGAGTGAGTTGGGTTTAACGCCGCTTTTAATATTGTTCCAGTTATATCACGGCGTGTCAGCTTCATGTGGGAGGAAAGCCCGAAGTGATGCAGGTCTCAGGTGCTTACCACTTCGGTGAAACCAACGAGCACGGGTATGGTGCTGAAAAACCTAGAAACATAATTGGGACGAACCAGGATTCGAACCCACAATCATAGGTTTCCTGCGTGCCTAAGGGACGCAACTCTGCACAGGAATTTGTGACACCTTAGTCGACTGGGCCACCCGTGTATCATGGTACACCACATCAAATAGTAAGAAATTATGAAATCACTGAAATACAGCTCTCAAACCTCTCTCTTCATGCACTTATCAATTGTTATCTCAAAAATTGGACTAAAGAAACCCACAAGAACAAAACAGTTTTAAATGAAGGGATGGTCACTTAATGCAACAGTTGGTCGGCGCGTCCTCAGCTACGACGTCCTTGTGTTCTGCCATGCTTACAGATGGCGCTATGCTATGGGAGGTAACTCTATTCCATTTTGTATTCGTTCATGTTCTATTTATAGCATATCGCGATCTCACAAAGTGACAATTCAAGTATCATGTGTACCTAAGTATCGATGATATCATAGGTATCGCTGAATCGTTACAGCCCTAGTAAACAAGATTTGAAATGTGGAGCATCTGAATACCTGTCCTTGTCTGAGAAGTCCTGATCCTCTGGGTCATCAATAACAATAGCCTCCTGGGACTGCGGAGACAGAGACAGCTGACGTTCATTGTCCGAGGCCCGGTGGTGATCTGGACTTGGTTCGAGCTCACCTTGCTCATACGAGCTGTCTGCGTCATCGGACATCTGTCAACACAATATGGGTGTCTCAGTACTCCTGTAGTATGACACTTTGGCCACCAGTCTGAAGCCACAAAACTATCTAGAGTTAGGCCCCCCCAAAATATGTTTCCTGACCAGCCCTAATCTGATCAGAGTGCCCATCACCACAATTACAGAACATTGCCTTTGAAGAATGGGTCACCTGTGCCCCAGTGAACACAAAAGATGAAAGGACTATGTATGCCATAAGAGGCGACTATGCTTGCCGTAAGTGGAGATTATGCTTGTCGTAAGAGGCGACTATGCTTGTTGTAAGAGATGACTATGTATGCCTTAAGCAGTTAAGAGGCAATTGTGCTTGTCGTAAGAGGCAACTAACGGGATCGGGTGGTCAGGCTCGCTGACTTGGTTGATGCATGTCATCATATCCAATTTACGTAGATCGATGCTCATGATGTTAATCACTGGATTGTCTGGTCCAAACTTGATTATTTACAGACAGCTGTCATATAGCTTGAATATTGCTGAGTGCGGCGTTAAATGACAAACAAACAAACAAACTTGTCTTCAGACCCCATCACAGCTCCCTCCTGAGGGCTGGCCACACTATCATGACTATGTTGACGATAACCACAGATTGGTGAATAATCATGACAATATGTCAACCACAGCAAAACACCCCAAACTATCATCATGATAATGTATTATTTGTACTATCTGTGCAACATCATGAGAATTATTGTATACTGGAGCATATTGATGAGGGCTGTTTCCAGTGAAATAAAGAAAACCAAGCAGTGCTGATCACTTGGTAAATGAGCACTACTCACTGCTTATTATTTGGGACAGCAACTGTGGTACCATGGCAAAGTGTTGGCTAATTAGATTAACTTGTTAACAAGCTGACAACGTGAGTTTGATCCTCGCTGTGGCGCTAATTGAAATCTGAACGAGTGTGACCGGTAAAGTGCACAACTCCCACGTTCTGTTTCCCACGATATCATGTACATAGCAGTAATGAACTTTCATCCATGTAAACATGGTAAAACAAATGTAAACTGTTAGACACAACATTCTTCAATCATGTCAATTTTAAACAATATAAACCCAAATTATTCATTTTGACAATACAACAAGGAGCACAGATGCACACACGAAACAATATGCAGTCCATCTTCCTTTTTTAATCCTTTTCGTCGTATTTGTTTTTTTTCAATAACCACTCTAACATGTTTTGATTCATCAGTTGCTGATCATCAGGTCCTGATCATTAGGCACTACCGTGTTCTGCCATGCAGCATCTATCATCCTGCGTTCTATCTTTGAAAAAAAGCGTAATAAATCATTAACTGACAACTTACCTTCTTTCCTGTGTATGTTTTGAGTAAACTGCCTTTATAGAGAGTCAGATATTTCTCACTAAGAGATACACATTCGAAAACGTTTTTGTTTTCGGCGTGAACCGGAACCGGAAATGTTGGGTAAGGGACATAACCCTTGAAAGCTTATACATATTTGAAACATTCGTATAATCCCAATAGTGACCAACACATTTAGTTTCGCGCTTAGTTTCTGCAGAGACCATATAATAGATTATCTATTATATGGTCTCTGGTTTCTGCAGCTGGCAATTTGTAATGCGAGTTTCTACTTTGGCAGAACAAAAACCTTTGGATGAATGAAGTTAATACTTATATGTCACTGAACGTTTTAGGGTCTTCCGCGCATCCCCCATTCCGAATACTATCTAATTTTCCACTTCGAGTCCCATTTGCTCATCCCTAATTGCCGAATACTAATCACAAAAGCACATGTCACAATTCACTCTACAAAGACGGAATGAAACCGAGAGAATACCTCCCTAGGTCATAAAAGGGTGAGATTTGAAGTTAAATTACTGAACAAATATCGAAAAGATAAAATATATAAAGGAAATATTTATGTGTAAACCATCATGTATTTTAAAAAAAAGTTGTGCCTGCGTACCAAATACGACATTAGAGAAAATGTGTGGATTGATGCTCATGATGTCAATCACTGATTTACAGACCGCCATCATATAGCTGGAATATTGCTGAGTGCGGCGTTAAACAACAAACAACAAACATGCAAACAAACAAACGAAATCAGTGTGAGTCCCCCGTACCATACTGCAAACTCCCGAACACCCTCTAAATAGATTCGGGGCGGTCGGGTAGCCTAGTGGTTAAAGCGTTCGCTCGTCACGCCGAAGACCCGGGTTCGATTCCCGACATGAGTACAATGTTTTCTGGTGTCCCCCGCCGTGATGTTGCTGGAATATTGCTAAAAGCGGCGTAAAACCATACTCACTCACTCACTCACTCTATATAGATTCCAGATTCCCGCACACCATAGCCTCGTTCCACAAAGCGATCTAACGCTACGACTGTCGTAAGTCTATGTTAAGGTATGGGAGTTACGATCACCTAAGGTGATGTTAGAGCTATATGGGGGTGATTGCGACGTAAGATGTTTTCTTTCTGGCGTTTTTTCAATGGCAATGAGGAGTTTATTTGATGAGAGCTTAAGAAGATTAGACCCCTGATATATACTGGCTAAATAAATCCGTAAATATTTTTTAAAGATATTTGAAAGCATGGCATTTCCTTTAATCTCTAAAAATACGCCTTTCGTCTCGAAGATATCCTCACCAAAACAAGTCGACAAGAAACTGGTGGAATACAGGACACCGTACGTAACGCCCTTTTCCACTGGCATGCTTAGTCTGGGTTAGTCTCTAAAAATATATAATATTTATAGAAACAATTAACTCCATATAAATTGAAAAGGAGCCCGGTGAGATGGGAGATTCAGAACGTGAACATGTGGAAAATCTAGACTTGCTTCATATAGGGCTTTTGCATCACAGAAAGTGAGTGAGTGAGTTGGGTTTAACGCCGCTTTTAACATTATTTCAGTTATATCACGGCGTGTCAGCTTAATTTGGGAGGAAAGCCCGAAGTGATGCAGGTCTAAGACTATTATCACTTCGGTGAAACCAACGAGCACGGGTATGGTGCTGACAAACCTAGAAACATAATTGGGGCGAACCGGGATTCGAACCCACAGTCATAGGTTTCTGGCGTGCCCAAGGGACGCAACTCTGCACAGCGAATCGCGGCGCTTTAAACGACTGGACCACCCGTGCCCCCTACCATCACAGAAAGGGATGGGCGGAAGGAAAAATAATATGGTTCAGGGACTGTGAGACAGACTAGCCGTTTAGCACCTTGGACATGTTGGCAATACTTCACGGGTTTGTACACGCTACGTATCTCCGTCACTCAGAACGCAGTGTCAACAAAGCCACGTAGTGATGCTGTCGGACATTCGTTCTGCGGCACAGTGCTGAGAACGAACAGATCTGCAGGTACAGCAGCCTGTCTCACTGAAGCTATCGGGGGCACGGGTGGCCCAGCTGTCCAAGCCACCACAGTTCGCTGTACAGAGTTGCGTCCCTTGGGTACCCCAGGAACCTATGATAGTGGGTTCGAGTCCCGGCTCGCCCCGATAATTTTTTTATGTTTCTGGTGACCCCCGCCTTTATATTCCTGGAATATTGCTAAAAGCAGCGCTAAAACCAAAACTCACTCACTCACACAAGCCACACCACAGGGAAGGCGATGTTCTAAAGGTCTTCTCCGGAGTGGGTTGCTGAAGACCAATTCCAACCCGGATGTTCACTCTAAGCAGGCAGAGTGAGTGAGTGAGTGAGTATGATTTTATGCCGCTTTCACCAATATTCCAGCAATATCACGGCGGGGGACACCAGAAATGGGCTTCACACATCGAACCCATGTCGGAAATCGAACCGGGTCTTCGGCGTGACGAGCGAAAGCTTTATCCACTTGGCTACCCCCACCACCCTTCAAGCAGGGAGATAATTTATCACATAAAAAACAATCTGATGATAAACGGGGAACGGACGAGTGGATACGGTAACCATAGGTACCGAGTAACGGTTATGATATGTAGGGATCGTATGTGCTTACATCCCCCGGGTCAACACGCCATTTTCAAATTTTGCAAAATCGGGGACAAGGGGAAGATAACTCGGGACGGATAATAAGTATAAAATGGCTTATTTGTTTGCTTGCATAGTGAGGACGGCTTCCTTAATTACCCACGCATGATCGTATACCATTTATGGTGTCCAGGATCCGCTGGTCGTGGGTTCGAATCCCACATTGGCCCGGAATGTTTTCACCAAAGCAGTACTATTAACGACATGAATCACTTAATTAGACTTTCCGACCTCATTAAACGAATTTTAAGTGAAAATAAATAAATATGCCAGCAATTGCTTGAAAAAAATTATTATTCAACAGAGTGTTCAAAAATGCAATTGTCTGCCACAATAAAATAAAATTTTGCAAGATTTAAAAATATATATACATATTTAGGCTCAACTTTTTAATTAAAAAGATAGATCTGGTTTTGTAACTGTAGCTGACCACTCCACTTCCCGAGTATCAAATGGTCAGTCCCTGGTTGAGCGAATTCTGTATTAATCTTGTCGCAGTTTTTTACGACCGTTAGCTTAGGTAACGGTCATAATGACAGAATGAACTCTGCCCTGAGAACATAAGGATTGTTTTGTCTTGATAAATTGGCACTGACGCCACTGTATGACAAAGAGTACACACACTCACAGTGGTCATGGCGAGCACGTGCCAGCTGCAACGTGGCTGTCACTTTCAACCACAGTCACTAGGTCAACAGAGGTCACTTTTTATGCCTACTTATGTAACCATAGCAAACAAACAAGAATTTGGAAAATAACATTTTCACATTTGCCAAATGTTGAACATTTGGGATCAGACAGAGAAAGAGGGAGCGCGAACCAAACTGTGAGTTCATTAAACTGGGAAAGACGTCATACCATTTGATACTTATTTACTGAATGTCGTATTTTTTTAATGACCCCTGGGCTGGACTGACGTTGACAAAGAATATATGTGCACGATGTTGTCCCACAAATCTGAGTTTGTGTTTGTTCATCTCATGTCTCGTCGTTGTTTTTTGTCCAGTTTTCCAAGAGTTGCCCAGAAACAGACAAGACAAGAGTGTTAAAAACGGTGCATATATCCCTTATGGCCTTGTATGTTTTAAGATGAGTATAAACAAGCTTGATAACATTGACATGTTGCTATTAGCAGTTGCAATAAAGTGTGCACGAGAGTTGTAAACACGGGGACTGTGTGTCATGAAGCCTTTAAAGGAGCATGATCGCCTCAAAACTGGGCGTGATTTATACATTTCGATGGAGGTGGTATGGATCACCAGTGCCCCATCTTGTAACATTAGTTGCCCATCTTGTAACACTAGTTGTCCATCTTGTAACACTAGTTGTCCATCTTGTAACATCAGGTGTCCATCTTGTAACATCAGTTGTCCATCTTGTAGCATTAGTGGTGCATCTTGTAACACTAGTTGTTCATCTTGTAAAACTAGTTGTCCATCTTGTAACACTAGTTGTCCATCTTGTAACACTAGTTGTCCATCTTGTAACACTAGTTGTCTACTTGTAACACTAGTTGTCCATCTTGTAACACTAGTTGTCCATCTTGTAACACTTGTGGTCCATCTTGTAGCATTAGTTGTCCATTAGTTGGGAGGTCCCCATGTACTGCTGACAGTCCCCTGTACTTGAAAATAGATAGACCCTGTGTTCACACCTTGTGTCTCCGTGTACTGCTGAGAGTCCCCTGTACTTGAAAATAGATAGACCCTGTGTTCACACCTTGTGTCCCCATGTACTGCTGAGAGTCCCCTGTACTTGAAAATAGATAGACCCTGTGTTCACACCTTGTGTCTCCGTGTACTGCTGAGAGTCCCCTGTACTTGAAAATAGATAGACCCTATATTCACACCTTGTGTCCCCTTGTACTGCTGACAGTCCCCTGTACTTGAAAATAGATAGACCCTATGTTCACACCTTGTGTCCCCTTGTACTGCTGAGAGTCCCCTGTACTTGAAAATAGATAGACCCTATGTTCACACCTTGTGTCCCCATGTACTGCTGAGAGTCCCCTGTACTTGAAAATAGATAGACCCTGTGTTCACACCTTGTGTCCCATGTACTGCTGAGAGTCCCCTGTACTTGAAAATAGACAGACCCTATGTTCACACCTTGTGTCCCATGTACTACTGAGAGTCCCCTGTACTTGAAAATAGATAGACCCTGTGTTCACACCTTGTGTCCCCATGTACTGCTGAGAGTCCCCTGTACTTGAAAATAGATAGACCCTATGTTCACACCTTGTGTCCCATGTACTACTGAGAGTCCCCTGTACTTGAAAATAGATAGACCCTGTGTTCACACCTTGTGTCCCCATGTACTGCTGAGAGTCCCCTGTACTTGAAAATAGATAGACCCTATGTTCACACCTTGTGTCCCATGTACTACTGAGAGTCCCCTGTACTTGAAAATAGATAGACCCTGTGTTCACAC